TTGCGTTCAGTTTTGATCCCCCCACTACAGAAGGGATGTGGACAAATTGGAGAGTCCAGCGGCGGGCAATGAAAATGATCAGGAGGCTGGGGCACATGACTTACGAGGAGAGGCTGAGGGAACTGGGATTATTTAGTCTTCAGAAGAGAAGAATGAGGGGGGGATTTGATAGCAGCCTTCAACTACCTTCAATGGGGGGGGGGAGGGATAGCTCAGTGGTTTGAGCATTGGCCTGCTAAACCCAGGGTTGTGAGTTCAATCCTTGAGGGGGCCATTTAGGGATCTGGGGCAAACACTGGGGACTGGTCCTGCTTTGAGCAGGGGGTTGGACTAGATGACCTCCTGAGGTCCCTTCCAACTCTGATATTCTATGATTCTGTGATTCTACCGGAAGGGGGGTTCCAAAGAGGATGGAGCTCGGCTGTTCTCAGTGGTAGGAGATGACAGAACAAGGAGCAATGGTCTCAAGTTGCAGTGGGGGAGGTTTAGGTTGGATATTAGGAAAAACTTTTTCACTAGGAGGGTGGTGAAACACTGGAATACGTTACCTAGGGAGGGGGTGGAATCTCCTTCCTTAGAAGTTTTAAAGGCCCGGCTTGACAAAGCCCTGGCTGGGATGATTTAGTTGAGGTTGGTCCTGCTTTGAGCAGGGGGGTGGGACTAGGTGACCTCCTGAGGTGCCTTCCAACCCTGATCTTCTATGATTCTATGCTGTACGAGCAGGGGGAGCCCTGGGGGGCGGGGGTTGGGGTGGGGTTGTGCCCCGAGTAGAACCCAGCTTGGGTAAGTGGCTGTTTTGATCATCTTCCAGTGAGGACACCACAGCCCGAGCTGCTCACATGGCCCTGCAGCCTGGGAGTGGGAGGTGACCCCTGTCTCTGGGGCGGCTGCTCCGTGCCTGGGGCAGTCGCTTACACAGCCTTTCCCCTGGAGTGGGGCTGACCCGGCTGCGACTCTTTTTCTGATGGAAAATCAGGTTCTCAAGAAAACAAAAGTTTTGGCAGAAGAGGGGAGGGGATGTGGTGGGGGAGGCTGGGAGCCAGGACACTTGGGTTCTCTCCCCAGGTTTGGGAGGGGAGTGGGATCTAGTGGTTAGAGCAGGCAGGGCTGGGAACCAGGACTCCTGGGTTCTATCTCTGAGAATTTTCTGACTTTCCCTTGGGAGAAGAAAAAAAATAAAATTTGGGGACTGAAAACTGATATGGGGGGGAGATATTTTAGTTTTGACAAAAAGTGGGAATTTTCCCAAGGGAAGAGCCCTCCCTGCTTTAAGGAGTTTTAGCCTCTCTGGCCGTGCCTGGGGAAGTGATGCAACGGGGCAGAGGGGCAGCTGGCTTCAGCAGGGTGTCCAACTGAATTCAGCGCTGGGAGTTAATGTCTCCTCTGCCCGCCAGTTCCATCCCTATCACCTGCTCCCTGGGGGTGGGTCAGAGGCTGTGTGCTAGGCGCTGCACAGGCCGAGAGACAGTCCCTGTCCCATAGATGATCGGCCTCATTGCCCCGGCTCTGGCTGGGGCTGTGCGTATCACACCAGGTCTGGCTCTGCCCAGGGACCCCCAGAGAGCTGTGCTCACGGAGGGCTCCAGCGAGTGGTACTGCTCATCGCTGGCCCTGCTGTGCCACCCCAGGATGGCTGTGTACACACACACACACACACACACACTCACTGTCTCTCTCGCTCTGTCTGTGTCACACACACACACACACTCTCTCTCTGTGTCTCACACACACACACACTCACTCTCACTCTCACTCGCTCTCTGTGTCTCACACACACACACTCTCTCGCTCTCTCTCTCTCTGTCTCACACACACATACACTCTCACTCGCTCTCTGTGTCTCACACACACACACTCTCTCTCTGTGTCTCACACACACACACACTCACTCTCACTCGCTCTCTGTGTCTCACACACACACACTCACTCTCACTCGCTCTCTGTGTCTCACACACACACTCTCTCTCTGTGTCTCACACACACACACACTCACTCTCACTCGCTCTCTGTGTCTCACACACACACACTCACTCTCACTCGCTCTCTGTGTCTCACACACACACACTCTCTCGCTCTCTCTCTCTCTGTCTCACACACATACACACTCACTCTCACTCGCTCTCTGTGTCTCACACACACACACACTCACTCTCACTCGCTCTCTGTGTCTCACACACACACTCTCTCTCTCTCTCTCTCTGTGTCACACACACACACTCTCTCTCTGTGTCTCACACACACACTCACTCTCACTCGCTCTCTGTGTCTCACACACACACACACTCTCGCTCTCTCTCTGTGTCTCACACACACACACACTCACTCTCGCTCTCTCTCTGTGTCTCACACACACACACTCTCTCGCTCTCTCACTCTCACTCTCTCTCTGTGTCTCACACACACACTCTCTCTCTCTCTCACTCTCACTCTCTCTCTGTGTCTCACACACACACACACTCACTCTCACTCGCTCTCTGTGTCTCACACACATACACTCTCTCGCTCTCTCTCTCTCTGTGTCACACACACACACACACTCTCTCTCTGTGTCTCACACACACACACACTCACTCTCGCTCTCTCTCTGTGTCTCACACACACACACTCTCTCGCTCTCGCTCTCTCTCTGTGTCTCACACACACACACTCTCTCGCTCTCTCTCTCTCTCTGTGTCTCACACACACACTCTCTCTCTCTCTCTGTGTCACACACACACACACACACACTCACTCTCGCTCTCTCTCTGTGTCTCACACACACACACTCTCTCTCTCTGTGTCTCACACACACACACTCTCTCTCTCACTCTCACTCTCTCTCTGTGTCTCACACACACACACACACACTCACCCCTGCTGTGCCACCCCAGGACGGCTGTACACACTCACACAGCCCAGTTGTGTGACCCTAGCATGATTGTACACAGACTTACAGACCCACTGTACCCCCCCCCCCGGGCGACCACACACACACACACACAGAGCCCTACTGTGTGACCTTAGGATGATTGTACACACACATACAGACCCACTGTGCCCCCCGGGCGACTGTACTTGTACACACAACCACACACACACCCATTATTTGACCCTAGGGCAACTGTACACACACACACAGAGCCCCATTGTGTGAAACACAGGGCGACTGTACATACACATACAACCCCACTATGCTCCCCAGGTGAATGTACACACACATATCCCCACTGTGTGACACCGGGGCACCTCTACACACACACAAACACACAGAGAACCACAGAACCTGGGGTGTGACCCCAGGGTGTCTGTACACACACATACAGCCCCAGTGTCCCCCCCCTTCCCAGGGTGACTTTACACACACACACAGGCCAGTTGTGTGACACTAGGGCTGTTGAATTAGTGTGTTGCCATTGTATTATTTCAGTGCAGTTGAAGATATAGAAGCCTTTGTGTTGTCCCTGTACATCGTGGGGTGGGCGGCTGGGAGCCAGGACTCTGGGTTTTATCCCCAGCTCTGATTGCCCTGCTCTGTGCCTCAGTTTCCCTGTCTGTACATTTCAGAGAGCACCACTCGTCCTGTGGTGGAGCAGCCGTGAGGCTGAGCCAGGCCCTGGACCCCGCCCTCACCCCTTCCCCAGGTATAGGCTGGCAGCTCCCTCCCCCCACCTGGGCTGGGCTGTCGGGGTGTGTGTGTGGGGGGGCAGGGGGGAGTCAATCGTCCCAGGCCAGGTGTGAGGAGATCAAGAAACCCGTCCTGCACTCGTTCCCTGTCTGTCCCAGCACAGCATCCGCAGCTCCAGCCCAGGTGGCCCCTGGCTATGAGGCTCTGGGCTCGGGGCAGGGCCCAGCATGGGGCTGGCACTGCGTTCCTTCAGCCCTGCACTGGCCATGGGACAGATTCAGCCACACACCCATGTCCCCACAGAGACACCCCCTCCCCAGGACTCCTGGGTTCTATCCCAGCTTGGGGGGGGGGGTTAGTGGTCAGAGCAGGGGGGCTGGGAATTAGTCAACTAAACTGGATGGTGCTGCCAGGAACACAGACCTCCAGAGCCATGTGGGGCTTTGGGGCTAACACTGAGTATGAGAGCAAAACAACCCTCCTCGGCCCCTGCAACGCGGACCCCCTTCTGAGCCCCCAACCCTGCAGCATGGCACCCCCGGGTGCTGGGGGACCTTCCTGTAGGGGCACACAGAAAACTCAGTGTCTAGGGGTCGGTGCCCTGGCCCTAGATGGGGCAACTGAGCTGTGGGGGCTCCCAGTCAGTGGCACCGTGGGGCCGGTTTCCTCCCCTGTGGCCCTGCTATGCCTGGGGGGGGGCCGCCTCTCCTGCAGGGGCCCCAGCAATGGGAACAACTCTGCCAGCCGCTTGCTGGGTCACCGCACCCTGCCCGAGGGCAAAGTCCCCCTGGACCAACCCCCACCCCGCCACGCTCGGCCTGTGGGACATAGAATTCATTGACTCTTCACGATGGGGCTGGGAGCCAGGACTCCTGGGTCCTGTGCCTGGCAGAAAGGGGAGGGGAGGGGAGGAGGGGGGGGGGCTAGTGGTTAGAGCAGGAGGCTGGGAGCCAGGACTCCTGGGTTCTATTCCTGGTACAGGGAGGGAGGGGGAGTTCTAGTGGTTACAGGGGCGGAGGCTTGGCACCCCCACCCCCTCGGGTGTCCAGGCCCCTATTTCGTCCCCAGGCCTACTTTCCCCTCCCTCCATCCCTCTGGTACCACAGCAACCCCGGGCGGGAGGATGACGGGAGCCCATGGGGCTGGCTGAGTGGGGGGGGGGGAGGGCAGACAGCAGGAGGATGGCTCATGGGGCCACCGGCAGGCAGGTTCCTGTGACTCCTCTAGGGCGAGATATGGGGCTGCTGAGCTGGGGCGGGATACCAGGGTCAGTCCCAGGGCCGTGTGCTGGGCTGAGGGGTCCCAGCCGGCTGGGGGGGACTCAGTGCAATAGCCTGTGCTGAGAGCCAGGGAGGGGGGGTCGTTCCCAGCACCATTAACCCCCCTCCTGTTCCAGGGGGCCCAACGGTGCCGTGCTGGTCGCTGCCCAAGGTTGTGGCTGTCGTGACTGGCGGCTTCCTGCTCTTAGCTGGCGTCGGGGCCAGCGTGTGGGCCATTGGTAAGAACCTGGCCCCCTAGGGCCCCCCACTCCTGACCCACAGGCCCTGCAATCCCAGCCCTGGACTCCCCCTACCCAGCCCTGCCCAGGGCCCTCACTCCCGACGCGCAGCCCCCTACTATCCCAGCCCTGGACTCCCCCCCCCCGCAGCCCTCCAGTGCCCCCCACTCCCGACCCGCAGCCCCCTGATAGCCCAGCCCTGGGCTTTCCCCACCCAACCCTCTGGTGCCCCTCACTCCCAACCCGCAGCCCCCGCTAGCCCCCATTACTCCTCCCCAACTGTCCAATGCCCCTTACTCCTGTCCTGTAGCCCCCTGCTAGCCCCACCTGCCAGCCCTGCAGGTGCCCCTCATTCCCACCCCCCGGCTCACATTCCCTGATGCCATAGCCTCATTCCCCACAATCACGGCCGTGGGCGCACCTGGAGCTCCCCCTCCTGCCGCCCCCTGCTGGGCTTGGTGGGCTCTGCATGTACGCTAAGGCTCTTGTCTCTTGCAGTGACATCTGTGCTGGGGAGTGACAGTGAAGGACTGTATGGTGGTAAGTTGTGGAGCCCCCTGCTCAGGGCCATATGACTGAGAGCTACTGCCCCCCCCCCAGTAATGGGGGTCTGACACCCTCCCCCTTGTGCACACCAGGGTAGGACCCGAATCCCCCTCCTCTAACCCACCAGCCCCCACTCCCCTCCCAGAACCAGACATAGAACCCAGGAGTCCTGACTGCCCGTAGAGGGCCCTCGTCCACTGGGTCCTGCTGCCACTCTGTGGGTGTTAGTAGGAAATCGGCTGGTCTGTGAACAGCCCAGAGCTCTGCCCTGAGCCACCCTCCCTGTTGCTGGGAGCCCCGAGGATGGCTGTTGCAGTGCTGGGGATGGCCACTGGAGGGAGACATGGACACAGGTGGCCCCGCGGTGCTAGTCCAGGGCTGGAGGGGAGGTGGAGGGTGACCCACGACGTTCTTAGACCCTTGCTCAGTGCGGCCCCCTCCCACCCCACAGTCCAGGTCGGGTCGGCGGACCTCCGGCTCACACTGTACGATGAGAGCGCGGGCAAATGGCGCCTCATCTGCTCCACCTCCTCCAATGCCCTGGTGGCTGCAATGAGCTGTGCAGAGATGGGCTTCGTCAGGTACCAGCCTGGGCTAGCAGGGGCTGCGGGTCGGGAGTGAGGGGCGCCAGCAGAGCTGGGTGGGGGGGACCCAGGGGTGGGCTAGCAGGGGCTGTGGGTCAGGAGTGAGGGGCGCCAGCAGAGCTGGGTGGGGGGGACCCAGGGGTGGGCTAGCAGGGCTTGCGGGTCGGGAGTGAGGGGCGCCAGCAGAGCCGGTGGGGACCCAGGGGTGGGATAGCAGGGGCTATGGGTTGGGAATGAGGGACACTGACAGAGCTGGGTTGGGGGACCCAGGGGTGGGCTAGCAGGTGCTGTGGGTCACGAGTGAGGGGCACTGACAGAACTGGGGGCGACCTGGGGTGGGATAGCAGGGGCTGTGGGTCGGGAGTGAGGGGCACTGTGCGGTGGGGCAGATCTCTGACAGGGGTGGGTTGCCTGTGGGTGACGCTGTCCCCTCCCCAGGTCTCTCTGGCACTCGGAGCTGGACGTGGAGCGCGTGGGCGCCAACGGGACGTCGGGATATTTCTGTGTGGACGAGTCTCGCCTGCCACTGGCCCATAGACTCAGTGAGGTCGTCTCCATCTGGTGCGTGGGGCAGGGCGGGGGGCTCAGCAGCGGGTGCCATGCTGCTAGGATGGGGCAGGGGGACCCTGTGGGCAGCCCTTCCCCCACGCCTGGGCTGCTGGATCCCTGGGAACCGGTTACTCTTATATTGGCATTGTGTGTGTGTGTGTGTGTGTGTGTGTGTCCGTCCTGCTGCCCCCTGCTGGAGGGGATGGGCCCTGTGTGATCTTGTGCGCGCGTGCTCTCTCTCTCTCTGTTCCTGCTGCCCCCTGCTGGAGGGGATGGGCCCTGCCGTGTGTGTGTGTCCTGCTGTCCCTGTGGGAGAGGCTAAGCCCTGCTCTGTGTGTGTGTGTGTCTGTCTGTGTCCTGCCAGTTCTGGGGGGAGGCTGAGCCCCGCAAACACACACACCTCGCCTTCAAGGCAGGAGGGGGCAGAAAGGAGTGAGCAGTGGGCAGGAGATGCTCAGGGGAGAGGACCTAAGGGGAGGGGGCAGAGCGTGGGCAGGAAGAGGTGGAGTGGGGCAGAGTGGTGGCGGGGCTTTGGGGAAGGGGCGGCGCCGGGATGGGGCACCCACCCGCCAAACCAAAAGTCAGCACCTATGCCTGTAGGAAGCTCATTTCCCCCCGTCTGGGAGCCTTCTTTTGTCTGACAGGTTTCAGAGTAACAGCCGTGTTAGTCTGTATTCGCAAAAAGAAAAGGAGTACTTGTGGCACCTTAGAGACTAACCAATTTATTTGAGCATGAGCTTTCGTGAGCTACAGCTCACTTCATCAGATGTATACCGTGGAAACTGCAGCAGACTTTATATACACACAGAGAATATGAAACAATACCTCCTCCCACCCCACTGTCCTGCTGGTAATAGCTTATCTAAAGTGATCATCAGGTGGGCCATTTCCAGCACAAATCCAGGTTTTCTCACCCTCCACCCCCCCACACAAATTCACTCTCCTGCTGGTGCTAGCCCATCCAAAGTGACAACTCTTTACATAATCAAGTCGGGCTATTTCCTGCATAAATCCAGGTTTTCTCACATCCCCCCCACCGCCATACACACACAAACTCACTCTCCTGCTGGTAATAGCTCATCCAAACTGACCACTCTCCAAGTTTAAATCCAAGTTAAACCAGAACATCTGGGGGGGGTAGGAAAAAACAAGAGGAAACAGGCTACCTTGCATAATGACTTAGCCACTCCCAGTCTCTATTTAAGCCTAAATTAATAGTATCCAATTTGCAAATGAATTCCAATTCAGCAGTTTCTCGCTGGAGTCTGGATTTGAAGTTTTTTTGTTTTAAGATAGCGACCTTCATGTCTGTGATTGCGTGACCAGAGAGATTGAAGTGTTCTCCGACTGGTTTATGAATGTTATAATTCTTGACATCTGATTTGTGTCCATTTATTCTTTTACGTAGAGACTGTCCAGTTTGACCAATGTACATGGCAGAGGGGCATTGCTGGCACATGATGGCATATATCACATTGGTGGTATGCAGGAAATAGCCCGACAGTGGGGTGGGAGGAGGTATTGTTTCATATTCTCTGTGTGTATATAAAGTCTGCTGCAGTTTCCACGGTATACATCTGATGAAGTGAGCTGTAGCTCACGAAAGCTCATGCTCAGATAAATTGGTTAGTCTCTAAGGTGCCACAAGTACTCCTTTTCTTCTTTTGTCTGGTGATTCTGACCACATCTAACACTCTGTGTGTGCGTGTGAAGGCGTCCACCCTCTTCTTCCTTATTTGTATCGTGTCCCCCAAAAATGTTGGGGTTCCCCATTTCCCATAGGTTGGTTATGGTTCCTTTTAGTGGCATTAGCCTGACGTAAGCCCTGCGGTTAGGGTTAGGGCTAGGGCAAGGGCACAGGTTAGGACACTGTGTCCTCTCGTCAGAATTATTCTTCCTGTTAATTTTCCCCAATGCCACCCATTGCAACACCTTTCCCAGGAATCTTGTAGCTTAGGGCCCGTTTTTGGACACTTATGTCCAGCATTTCTTAAGCTTCTGGCCGAGTGTGACTAAGCTGACATATTACAGGCCTCAGCCTGTAGACCTGGTGTTTCAGCCCTGTTTACTTAGATAGCGAATGCATCCATATCCCTTCAGGCTACCGAGCAAATGTCTACTGCTCTAGTCCTACAACTTGCATCGATTTAGCACATCTTGATTCTATATGATGTTAGTTCATCGTAACATCACGTAATAAATGAATGATAATGAACTCTGTGTGCGTGTGTGCGCCCCCTGCTGCCCCGTGCTGTGTGTCTGTCCCCCTATGCCCCAGCTCACACCTACTTTCTGTCCTTTTCTGTCTAGCCCGGTCTCTGCGTCAGTGAACGTACGTGGGTCTGAGGTGTGCATACATGCCCTTATCCGTGGGAGTGGCACCTTCCCCAGATGCTCAGTGGGGGGTGAACACGCACCTCACGTCCCCCACACATCCCCTCCTGCCCCACCCTCACGCTGACTTCTCACATTTCTGTCTTACAGCGACTGCCCGATGGGCCAGTTCCTTGCAACGCTCTGCCAAGGTATGAAGCCCTCAGCCCTGGGCATAGCTCCATCCAACACCCCGTCCTTCCATCCATCCACCCACTTCCATACCCAGCCAGCCATCTACCGACCCATGCATTTCAGCACTGACATACCCGCTATCCATCTAACTATCTCCACATTCACCATCCATCCATCCACCTCCATACCCACCCAGCCAGCCAGCCATCTACCCACCCATCCATCTCCACAACTACACACACCCTATCCATCCATTCATCTCCACACCCACTGTCCATCGCTCCCTCCATCTCTAATCCACACCCCGTCCATCCATCCATTCATCCACTATCCATCCATCTCCATTCCACACCCCCTCCATCCATCTCCATACCAACCCATCCATCCATCTCCACAACTACACCCCCACTATCTGTCCATCCATGCCTCATTCATCTCCATTCCACACCCCCTCCATCCATACACCCATCCACCTCCATACCCACCCAGACAGACAGCCATCTACCCACCCATTCATCTACACACCCAGTATCCAGCCAGCCAGCCACCCATCCACTATCCATCTACCCATCCGTCCACCTCCATACCCAGCCAGCCATCTACCCACCCATCCATCTCCATACCTACACACCCCCATCGATCCATCCATCCACCTCTGTGCCCACCCTCCACAGTTCCTCCATTCACCCATGTCCACACCTACACCCCCCATCCTTCCTTCTCTCCAGCCACCCCTCTGTTCATCTCTCCTGCACAAACCTGTCTGTGGGTTCATCCCCATCCATACCACTCTCTCTCTAGTCAGTGCTCATCATAACCAGCCCAAATTAGAGCTGGTTGAAGTATTTATTTTTTATTTCCAAGGGAAATTAACAGTTTTCAGGGAAGTGTCAGACTGCAGAGCGTTTGGGTTCTGAATGTGGCCGCGGTGCTCGTGGGCAGTGCAGCTCAGTTGCCTCCTGTCCCTGGTCTCGTCTGTGGGCTGAGACACCCTGAGGTACCAGAGCCAGGGACTCCCAGGGTACACGTCAGTCTCTCTGGGACAGGAACGTTGGGTTTTCAACCAGAGCAGAGGCTTTTCCTGAGAAATTTCACTTTGTCAAAAACTCAAATTTCCACTGAGTCCAATGAAGCTACGGCCAACTGACATGGGCTGGGGGTCTGGCCCCATTGAGTCCAGTGGAGCTACGGCCGATTGACCCCAGCTGGGATCTGACCCCACTGACGCCAATGGGATCTGGACCCATTGACTCCAGCAAGTTAAAGAAATATGGGCTGGATGAATGGACTATAAGGTGGATAGAAAGCTGGCTAGATCATCGGGCTCAACGGGTAGTGATCAATGGCTCCATGTCTAGTTGGCAGCCGGTATCAAGTGGAGTGCCCCAGGGGTCGGTCCTGGGGCCGGTTTTGTTCAATATCTTCATAAATGATCTGGAGGGTGGTGTGGATTGCACTCTCAGCAAGTTTGCAGATGACACTAAACTGGGAGGAGTGGTAGATACGCTGGAGGGAAGGGATAGGATACAAAGGGACCTAGACAAATTGGAGGATTGGGCCAAAAGAAATCTGATGAGGTTCAACAAGGACAAGTGCAGAGTCCTGCACTTAGGACGGAAGAATCCCATGCACCGCTACAGACTAGGGACCGAATGGCTCGGCAGCAGTTCTGCAGAAAAGGACCTAGGGGTTACAGTGGAGAGAAGCTGGATATGAGTCAGCAGTGTGCCCTTGTTGCCAAGAAGGCCAACGGCATTTGGGGCTGTATAAGTAGGGGCATTGCCAGCAGATCGAGGGACGTGATCGTTCCCCTCTATTCAACACTGGTGAGGCCTCATCTGGAGTTCTGTGTCCAGTTTTGGGCCCTACACTACAAGAAGGATGTGGAAAAATTGGAGAGAGTCCAGCGGAGGGCAACAAAAATGATTAGGGGACTGGAACACATGAGTTATGAGGAGAGACTGAGGGAACCGGGATTGTTTAGTCTGCAAAAGAGAAGAATGAGGGGGGATTGGGGGAGGGGGATAGCTCAGTGGTTTGACAATTGGCCTGCTAAACCCAGGGTTGAGAGTTCAATCCTTGAGGGGGCCATTTAGGCATCTGGGGCAAAAATTGGGGATTGGTCCTGCTTTGAGCAGGGGGTGGGACTAGATGACCTCCTGAGGTCCCTTCCAGCCCTGAGATTCTATGATTCTGTGGCCGACTGACCCCAACTGGGATCTGACTCCATTGACTCCAGTGGAGCTAAGGCCCATCGACCCCAGCTGGAGGTCTGGTGGAACGAGCTCGGGGCCCTATTGTGATCTGCACAGGCACTTCCTGGGCCTGCAGTTTCCAGTTAAAACAGCCAAGAGCCAGCGTGGAAGAAGCTAGAGGATAAAATGCAGCCTCCAGAGTTACCCAGGAAACCTCCCTTGGCGTCAGGGTGGGAGGGGGGTCACCTGGGGCTGCCCCACTGGTTACCCCTGGGACCGTGCTGGGGGAGTGGCCAAGGCCCCCGGGGTGGCTGTGGGGGTAGGGTGGGGGCTTGGTGCTGTCTCCCCCTGGTGGTTGCGGCTGGGGGTGGCTGGCACTGACTGGCGTGTCCGCTGCAGACTGCGGGCGCAGGAAGCTGTCTGTTGACCGGATCGTGGGGGGCCAGGACGCCAGTCTGGGCAAGTGGCCGTGGCAGGTCAGCCTGCGTTATGACGGAACCCACCTCTGCGGCGGCTCCATCATCTCCAGCCAGTGGGTTGTCACCGCCGCACACTGCTTCCCTGAGTGAGTGCCCAGCACCAAGCGCGGATGGAACCCAGGAGTCCTGCCTTCAGCCCTGCCCCCATGCTCTAACCACAAAACCCCACTTCCCTCCCAGAGCTGGGGATAGATCCCAGGAGTCCTGGCTCCCAGTGCCCCCACGTTCTAACCACGAGACCCCACACTCCTGTCAGAGCCAGAGAGAGAACCCAGGAGTCCTGGCTCCCAGCTCTCAGCAGCAGCCCCATCCCAGGTGGGGGAGGGGGTGGCCGCCCCGCCTAGCCCCCTGATGCACTGTCTCTCTCTGTCCATCCCCGCAGGAGAAACCGGGTGGTGAGCCGCTGGCGGGTTTTCTCAGGCGCCATCTCTCAGGTGTCCAGCAGGGGGCAGCAGGCGGGGGTGACGGGCGTGGTGTACCACGCGGGCTACCTTCCCTTCCTGGACCCCAACAGCGAGGAGAATGGCAACGACATCGCGCTGGTGCACCTGGCCGCGCCCCTCAGCTTCACCGGTGCGTGGGGAGCGTGGGGCGCCCGGCCGGGGACCTGGGACCTCGCCCTGCAGGGAGCCACCCGTGGGGGCTTTGTGCGCGGGTTGTCGCGTGAGCGTGTTAGGGACGCCGGGGTGTGTCGCAGTTGTGTGGGGGTGAGGGGTGTCTGCAGTGTGTGCGCGGTGTGCATTTACCTACCAGTGTGTGGTGTCCGTGTAAGGTGTGTGGCGTGTCTGGGGGTTTTGGGGGGGGGCATTTATCTGCGTGCATAGCGCGATGGGTTCGAGTCGTGTGCGTGTTGTGTGTATAGTGTGCGGTGTGTGTGTTGAGCATGTGGCTGTGTGGCGTGCAACCCTTGTCTATGCCTCATGCCCAGACTCTGTCTCCCCAGAGGACGTCCAGCCCGTCTGCCTCCCGGCGCTGGGGCAGCCCCTCCTGGACGGCAAGGTCTGCACCGTGACCGGCTGGGGCAACACGCAGTACTACGGTGAGTGTGTGACTGCCCCCATCCCCATGGGGCACAGCCCCACCCCTAGACATGGCCCCGCCCCTTCCTGTGGGCAACCAGGGGGAGGGGCCCTCATCAGGGTCACACAGCTGGGGGGCTGGGGATGGAGGAAGATGGGCCATTCGGCAACAGAGACCTGTGTTAGAGGCTCCGCTAGGGTTGCCAACTTTCTAATTCCTGGTAAGCAGACCCCCATGGCCCCACCCCACTCCACCTGTTCCCCAGGGCCCACCCTCATCGCCCCTTCTCCCCCTCTGGTTGCTCACTGGATCATCTCAATGGGGTTGGGGTGCAGGAGGGGGTGAGGGCTCTGGTTGGAGGTGCAGGCTCTGGGGTGGGGCTGGGGACAAGGCGGTTGGGGTGTGGGAGCAAGCTCAGGGCTGGGGCAGGGGGTTGGGTGCAGCAGGGCTAAGGCAGGCTCCCTACCTGCCCTGGCTCCGCGCTGCTCCCGGAAGCGGCCGGCACGTCCCTGCAGCCCCTAGGCAGAGGGGCCAGGGGGCTCTGCACGCTGCCCATACCCACAGGCATTGACCCCGCAACTCCCACTGGCCGTGGTTCCTGACCAATGGGAGCTGCAGGGGTAATGCCTGTGGGCTCTGGCAGTGTGTGGCGCTTCCCTGATCACCCCTGTGCCTAGGGGCCTCAGGGACATGCTGGCCACTTCCGGGAGCAGCGCAGAGCCAGGGCAGGCAGGGAGCCTGCCTTAGCCCCGCTGTGCCGCCGACTGGACTTTTAATGGCCCAGTTAGCGGTGCTGACCGGAGCCTCCAGGGTCCCTTTTCGACCGGGCATTCCGCTTGAAAACTGGACCTTAGTAACCCTAGCCTCCCCCCGGCCCATGGTAACCGGGCTTTTGGTTTGGATGCCATTTAGGGTTGTCAGGTCCCCCAAAACCAGGCACCTGGTAACCCTAAATGGCACCCAGACGCAGAAACCAAAAACCAGGTAAAAACTGGATGGGTAGCAATGCTAGGCTCCGCCCATGGGGAGGGGCTTCCCAAGATGCCACCCAGAGCAACCCATGATATCCTGACCCCAAGAACCAAGTTCAGGAAAGCCCACCCCCATGGGGGCGCACCACTCCGGAGGTCCCTCCTCTATAGGGATGGGTGCCAGTGTTCAGATGCTGGTGTGGATGCTAGGCAGGTGAGGTGCCAGGGTTCAGGTGGAGGCATATAGTGGGCAGGTGTGTGTGTGTGGGGGAGAGTTACAGTTCAAGTGCCAGGGCAGTTGCTGGGGGAATGGGCAGGGGTGGGAGCTAGGTGGGCGGAAGCTGGGTTCTGGGGGGTGGGGCGGGTGCTGGGTAGGTGGGGGCTGGGTGCAGGGGCGGGTGGGCACTGGGTTGTGGGTGGGGAGAAGCAAGGCGGGCAGGGGCTGGGTGCAGGCAAGTGGATGCTGGGTGGGCAGGGGTGGGGTGGGGGGCAGATGTGGGGCAGGCAGAAGCTGGGATAGGGGCGGGATGCCCTGGGGGGGCGGCAGTTGGGTTTTGGCAGGGCAGGTGGGGGCATGGCGGGGGACCCCATGCCCACTCTTCCCTCCCCTTATCCCCCAGGGCAGCAGTCCAGCATCCTGCAGGAGGCCTCTGTGCCCATCATCAGCACCGCACTGTGCAACTCGCCTGAGTACTACGGCAACCAGATCCGCCCCCGCATGTTCTGTGCTGGCTACGCCGAGGGTGGCACCGATGCCTGCCAGGTGGGGCCGGCCGGGGCGGGCAGGGCAGGTGGGCAGTAGGGGCCAGTGTCAGGGCACTGACTTCTTTGTTGTCTCCCTCCCGGCAGGGTGACAGCGGGGGGGCCCTTTGTGTGTGAGGACGGCATCTCCCGCACCCCCCGCTGGCGGCTCTGCGGCGTGGTCAGCTGGGGCACCGGCTGCGCCCTGCCCCAAAAGCCGGGGGTCTACACCAGGGTTGGCGCCTTCCACGACTGGATCCACCAGGCCATGAAGGTGTGTGGGGCAGGGATGGTCCCTCCATTTATCGTCCCTTTCAGTCTATTCTCCCTGAGGGGGGTGGGATCCCCCAGTCTGACCCCCCCATCCCTCCTACTCTGGCCTCCTGGAGGCAGGAGGGATCATCCCTCCAGTGTATTTGCAGGGGGGTGGCATTGCCACCCCCTCCCCAGCCTGGATCCGCCCCGGTCTGTCCCACCCCAGCTGTGCCAGCCCCTGATGCCCGTGTCTCTCTCTGCAGACTCACTCCCTGGCCAGCGGGATCGTTTCCCAGCACTGACCCCTGCTGCCCAGGTTCCCGCACTATGGAGTTACGCCAGCCCTCCCCTCGCCCCCCAAGCCAGACAGACGCTGCCCCCTCCATTCCAGCCACGAGGGGCAGCTGTTCCTACATGACCTACTGGACCTTGCAACCCAATGACCTTCGACCTCTGACCCCCACAGCGCCTTGTCTGCGTTACTGGAATGAGAGTAGGGTGACCAGACAGCAAACGTGAAAAATCGGGATGGGGGTGGAGGGTAATAGGAGCCTATATAAGGAAAAGACCCCAAAATCGGGACTGTCCCTATAAAATCAGGACATCTGGTCACCCTAAATGCGAGTGTGGGTGGGGGCTGGGGAGGAATGGGCCAGATCCACCTATCACAATGCAGTGTGGCCCTTTAAGCCACCACCCACCAATGGTGGACTTATAGATCCACTATCATAATACAGCACCGGCCCTCTAAGACCCCACCTGCCAATGGGGTTTTCTAGCTCCACCTATCACAATGCAGCGCGGCCCTTTAAGCCTCCACCTGCCAATGGGGGTTTTCTAGCTCCACCTATCACAATGCAGCATGGCCCTTTAAGCCTCCACCTGCCAATGGGGGTTTTCTAGCTCCACCTATCACAATGCAGCGTGGCCCTTTAAGCCTCCACCCTCCAATGGGTTCTACAGCTATGGCTGCTCCAGGGCCTGCTGGAGTTCTTCATCCCTGGAGCAAGGGGGCGGGGGCTGGAAAAGAGCTTCTCTGTGATTGGTTAACAATGGTGGGAGAGACTGCATAGGCCACACCCTCTGCCACCATCAGCCAACCAGGGTGGAGCTGCCTGGCCTTAACCCCTGCAGTTCTGGGCAAAAGCAGACCCATCAGCCTGGGGCTCTCCAGTGCCAGCAGCTCAGCCCTGTGGGTGGTGGGGGATTAGATCCTGACTCACAGCCCTGGGAGGAATCCTAATACACAGCCCTGGGGGGGCTGAGACAAAGCCCTGCGTGGGGTGAAGTAGACCGTGACCCACACCCTGGGAGGAATCCTAATACACAGCTCTGGGGGCTGCTGGACACATGGGTCCAGAGCTGATGCCCCAAACCAGGACAGAGCCTCCCCCTGCCCCAGCAGCCCCCGTAGGGAGTGCTGCCCTCACCCCTGCCAGGCTACCCCCTTCCCAGTGGGTGCCCACACCTCCAGGGGCTGGGAGCCTCCCTCCCAGCACCGGGTCCAGGGTTGCCAACAGCAAATCCACCCCACCCCCTTAACACCCCCATGGGTAGCACTGCTCCCAGCTGGACCCACCTCCTATGATTGCCTGCCCCAGCAATTGGTCCGTGGGGGTTGGGAAGGGACCAGGGCTCCCCTTGCATCTATGTGGGGCCCCAGGCTGAGCCCCCTGCATCCCAGGGGGCTGAGTATGGAGGGTCATGTCTAGCGAGCACAGCACTGGTTGGAACACACCCTGCTCAGGTGGTCTGGGCATTGGTCAAAGGAGTGTACGTGGGGTGGGAACCCCATAGCAGGGATTGGGGAGGGCAGGGGGAACAGCTTGGCTTAGAGAGGTGAATGTACACACAGAACAGGTCCCATGCTCTCCAGCAGGGGGCAGTAGGGAGGGACACACAGAGCAGGGCCCATCCCCTCCAGTAGGGGGCAGCACCCGTGTGTGCGTGCACACATGCGCACACACACACACACACACACACACACAGAGAGCAGGGCCCATCCCTTCCAGCAGAGGGCAGCAGGGACGGGGACACACACTATCCCATTCTAACCTGGACACACACAACCACCCACCAGCTCACTATACACCTGCCGCATCCCTGCTACACAAACTCTCATGGATCCCCCCTCCCCCCGACCCCCATCTGTTGCTAATCCCCAGCCCTGCTCAGCGGGTGACACCTGGGAGCCTGCGCAATCCGGCTGGGAGGGTGGGGGGCGGGGGCTCCTGTACATAGCTTATTGCATTAGCTCCTCTCCCCAGGCCTTGGGGGCGAGTCTCTCTTGTTGTATATGTTTGCACAGTGATCGCTGCAATGAAAAATAAACACCGTTTTGATTAGACACGTCTGGGACTCCTCCCCCCCCCCGCGGCTCCAGAGCACATTTGCTTAGGAGGTCTCTAACCCTGGCAGCTGAGGCCTTGGCCAGTGGGGGCCCAGGGGTTCATCGCTGTGGACTGGGGCAGGCGGCTGTCCCAAGTTCCCACCTGCCAGGCAGTCGGGCGCGGAGACAGCCTTGCCTCGCACCAACTGCCCTATGGCCCTTCGCTCAGCCAACGTCCTCTGCTCTGCCATGATACGGGGCTAGCCTGGATCGCCGCTTAAAGTTTCCCTCGTCTGCCTTCAGAGAGTGCAAGGCCAGCAGGGCCCAATGGGATCAGCTAGTCCGGCCCCCCTGGCCTCGCGCAGGCCACAGAACGGCCCCACAATCCTTTTGAGAGCCAAGTGGTTAGAAAAAACACTCCGTCCGCTGCAGAATCTCCCTGGTTAATCACGGAGTGGGCCAAAGGTTAATCCCTCTCTGTGCTGGAGTCACAGGTCCGATGCTCTGGAACTGCTCTGTATGAAGCCAGCCAGGACTCTGGGGTGGTGGGACTTCCCTTAGGGCTTGCTGTCCAGAGCAAAAAGCCTCCTTGGCTTCGGCCTTCCTGGTCTGACCTCGGAGCATTCAGCACCCCTGTTCGCACCCTGCACTTCCCCTGGGCGGGTCCACTGGTCGGGACCCCTGGGGAAGCCAGAGGGCCCTGCACCCCCACTCTGTAGCCAGCTGTGCCTCTCAGCCAGTGTAAAACAGAAGGTTTATTCGTCGACAGGAACACAGCGTAGGACAGAGCTTGTTAGCACAGGAATCAGTGACTTTCAGCAAAGTCCAATTTGTGGGCACCCCGGGCTGGATGCCCTGGACTCCCCGCTCTGAGTCCCCAACAGGAGACTGCCCAGGGACCCAGCCTCTGACATGCCCACTGTCCCTCCTCCGGTCTTTGTCTTGCATCCCAGGCAAAGTGTCACCTGGTCACATCCCCCTCCTGGGTCTCAGGTTATGAAGGGCAACTGCCACCACTTATGTGCGGGCAGCTGGAGCCTCTTCACCTGTCCCCAGGGCTTCAGCAAAAGTCACACACCCTTATTCCCACCACCTAGGCACTGCTGCAATACACGGGGAAAACTGACACACACACTATTCATACAAAACAGTAAGGTTCACATACAACATCACAAGGGAAACCCCCCACTTTGTCACACTTTCACCCAGGGTCGGGGATGATGGGTGAGCTTGGCCGAGTTAGGACTTTGCCCCTGTCAAGGTTCCTTCCCCACTCTGAACTCTAGGGTACAGATGTGGGGACCTGCATGAAAAACCCCCTAAGCTTATTTTTATCAGCTTAGGTTAAAACTTCCCCAAGGTACAAACTATTTTACCTTTTGCCCTTGGACTTTATTGCTGCCACCACAAAGCGTCTAACAAATATATAACAGGGAAAGAGCCCGCTTGGAAACGTCTTTCCCCCCAAAATCCTCCCCAAACCCTACACCCTCTTTCCTGGGGAAGGCTTGATAAGAATCCTCACCAATTTGCATAGGTGAACACAGACCCAAATCTTTGGATCTTAAGAACAATGAAAAAAGCCATCAGGTTCTTAAAAGAAGAATTTTAATCGAAGAAAAAGTAAAAGAATCACCTCTGTAAAATCAGGATGGTAAATACCTTACAGGGTAATCAGATTCAAAACATAGAGAATCCCTCTAGGCAAAACCTTCAGTTACAAAAAGACACAAAAACAGGAATATACATTCCATTCAGCACAGGTTATTTTATCAGCCATTTAAACAAAACAGATTCTAACGCATATCTAATTAGATTACTTATTAAGTTCTAAGACTCCATTCCTGTTCTGTTCCTGGCCAAAAACATCCCACAGAGAGAGAGACCCTTTGTTTCTCCCCCCTCAGGCTTTGAAAGTATCTTGTCTCCTCATACATCTGATGAAGTGAGTTGTAGCTCACGAAAGCTCATGCTCAAATAAATTGGTTAGTCTCTAAGGTGCCACAAGTACTCCTTTTCTTTTTGCGAATACAGACTAACACGGCTGTTCCTCTGAAATCTGTCTCCTCATTGGTCATTTTGGTCAGATGCCAGCGAGGTTATCCTAGCACCAGCACTTTTCCCTTCGTAGTAGACACCTTCAGGGCACTCAGAGTCATCTCCTCCCTGGGCTGTATCATAGAATATCAGGGTTGGAAGGGACCTCAGGAGATCATCTAGTCCAACCCCCTGCTTAAAGCAGGGCCAATCCCCAATTTTTGCCCCAGATTTCTAAATGGCCCCCTCAAGGATTGAACTCACAACCCTGGGTTTAGCAGGCCAATGCTCAAACCACTGAGCTATCCCTCCCCCCCAAACTGACACACCTTTAATTCTCTGGAATAAAAGGGCTTTAGAGAATTAATATGGTACACCTTAGGCTTTCGGTTGGAGGTGGGGAATGCTATGAGATAATTAACAGCTCCCAGGCGCTCCTGGACTGTGAATGGCCCTTCCCACGAGGCTTCCATTTTATGGGCCTGGAGCGCCTTTAAGACCATGACCTGGTCTCCTACTTTGAAGGAACGCTCTCTGGCACGTTTATCATACCAGGCCTTTTGCTCTTTTTGAGCATCCTGTAGGTTTTCTTTAGCAAGG